GCCCCCCAAAAAGTGTACACTTTCAGTTCTATAGAGGGTTATAGTATCCCAAAAAGTGTAAAGTGTACTCACACAGCTACCAAGTAACGTAGCACCTTTGATATCTTCAAGGGACACCCCTTGATTCAAGAGGCTGTTGGCAGCCAAGGCGACAGTATACCTCAGTAGCCCAGTAACCATATTATAATACGGGCACCCTCTTTTGGGTTGGTTACTTATAAAGGAACCCAGAACCAACTAACCCCAAACCCCAAACCCCAAACCCTAAACCCTAAACCCTAAACCCTAAACCCCCCCAAAACCCCAGAACCTAACAAACAGGGTAAAAGGGTACCACTGGGCTGCTAAGATACATGGCATCAAAGAAGAAGCTGCTCCACATGGGGATGTTCAAGCTGCTGAAGTCGTCTTGTGTCATGGCTGGGACCAAGAAGGGCACCTTGTAGCCCTAAACCCTAAACCCTAAACCCTAAACCCTAAACCCTAAACCCTAAACCCTAAACCCTAAAGCCTAAACCCTAAACCCGCAGCAGGGCACCTTGTAGGCGTCCGTGCCGTAGCGTGCTCTCGCAGCAGGGCTGTCGACATCATCGAGATCCATCCTCTGCCACAGCAACTCCTCAGGCTGGTCGTTTGGGTCTTAGGGTTTTAGGGCTTTAGGGTTTTAGGGTTTTAGGGTTTGGGGGTTTTTGGATTTTAGGGTTTTAGGGTTTTAGGGTTTTGGGGTTTTAGGGTTTTAGGGTTTTAGGGTTGTAGGGTTTTAGGGTTTTAGGGTTTTAGGGTTTTAGGGTTTTAGGGTTTTAGGGTTTTAGGGTTTTAGGGTTTTAGGGTTTTAGGGTTTTAGGGTTTTGGGTCTTAGGGTTTTAGGGTTTTAGGGTTTTAGGGTTTTAGGGTTTTAGGGTTTTAGGGTTTTAGGGTTTTAGGGTTGTAGGGTTTTAGGGTTTTAGGGTTTTAGGGCTTTGGGGTTTTAGGGTTTTAGGGTTTTGGGGTTTTAGGGTTTAGGGTTTTAGGGTTTTAGGGTTTTAGGGTTTAGGCTTTCCTGAATCATAGCATGCAACCCCTTCAAACCCCAAGAAGGGAAGATGTGCGCGAGATCCCAACAAAAAACCCTACCCAGGCTCGTAGTCCGCGAACCCTAAACCCTAAACCCTAAACCCTAAACCCTAAACCCTAAACCCTAAACCCTAAACCCTAAACCCTAAACCCAGGCTCGTAGTCCGCGAACTTCAGACCCCGGTCCACCGGATTCCAGCGCATGAAGCCGACTGGGAGATCGGAGCTTACAATCTCCGGGCCGAAGACGACCGCGGACTCCGACCCGAGCCTGCGCCATTGACTTGGGGGGGTACTTAAAGTAGTGAGGATTTTCCGATCCTTATTGGGTTTTTAAGCATTCATAAACGTACTCATATATATATATATATAAATAAATAAATACAAATAGAATAAAGAAATATATATATATATATATGTAAAGAATAATAAATACATATATACATATATATCTATATTAATTTATTTATATTTATAGCTATATATATATATATACACATGAAAACATGATGTTCAACAGTGACCCAGGAGCACTTGCCAGCCCGGACCCAGCATCCCCTCACTGCGCATGACGGGCGCGAAGTTGTTGAACATCTGGCTGTTCCTGGCTGGGCGGAGCTTTGTTTGATTTTTTTTTTGGGGGGGGGGGAATAGGGTTTAGGGTTTAGGGTTTAGGGTTTAGGCCGAGCAACTTGGGTTCATGAAGATGACTAAGGAGGGATTTACGGCACCAAGAAAGTTAAAGCTGACCGACGTTGCACCGCCTAAGGCTCATGGAGGTGAAAAGAAAGCGACTTCCCAAATTTCGCGCCAAGGCCAAGGCCACCCGTGCCTCCGCCACCACAAAATTGTTCGGCATGTACCGGATCGACACACCCTTCAAGCGATCTTCTTCGCCTGCCAGCCTCGGATGGCCCTCATAAAACCCTCTGAAAAACCTTCCTAAACATGATCCTCTTAAACCCGATAAGGGTAACTTAAAGAAATGTCCCAAGGGCATACCGAGCAGCTTTGCCTGCTCTTCCATGAACAAGAAGAGGTCCTGACCATAGGGCTCCATCGCATAGATGCAAACAGCCAGAGGGATTTGGAATGTCACGATCCACTTCCAGAATGCCCGGCCCTGGATGGAGTCCGGAGGCGCGGTTCTCATAAAGTACGGGTAGGTGTCCTTGTTCGACAGAGCGGGGGACGATGCGGCCCATGCAATTTGTGGGACCTTCCGTACCGCAGAAAGGCTTGCAACTGGAATTGCGATGGACGAGAAGATGCCACCCACAAGCGCAGCGACCGGCGTCTTGCCTGTACTCCACTTAGAACCTTGATAAAAATATCAATTTGAGTTTTTTTGGGTTTCATATAAACAAAAATTTAAAGCAATTCCCAAGGGGGATAAAGTTGCCATCTAAGCCCAGCATGAAGTCCAAAGCCGTCTCCACGCCCACGTCGGGTTGCGAATGGCTTGTGCCCACGCGCACTTTGATGTTAGAGCCTAGACCCGGGAGTAACCTAGGAATAAACAGGGTGCCCTTTTTGGTTCCTTAAAGGGGATGATAAGGGGAACCCAACCCCCAAAAAAAAAGGGCCTACTCCCGGTCCTAGGAGCTATTAGGATGCAAGTTCGCAATGGGGATGATGGGAGGCCCGAATCGCGCTGCCAAGGCGGGCTCGAAGTTCTTGCGCAGGTCGAGGTCAAAGCTCGCTACAACCTGACTCTCTCCAACAGCCAAGGAAATGAAAGGCTACAATTTCTACTACCCTCTTATAGTAGCCCAGTAACCATATCACAACAAGGGCACTTTTTTTTTGGTTGGTTACTTTAACAAGGAAACCCAGAACCAAAGAAAAAAAAGGGTAAAGGAGACCATTGGGCTACCAAGCCCTCCAAATTTTTAGGAAAGCCAAAGAATTCAAGGAAGTGAGAGGTTACAATTTCTGAGCCCTCCAGATTTTAGGAAACCCTTCGGGGTTAGGGTTTAGGGTTTAGGGTTTAGGGTTTAGGGTTTAGGGTTTAGGGTGAAAGAATTCAAGTCCAACAATTTTTAAACGTCAGCAGCTGCGATGAAGGACGTGCTTTGCGATGTGACGGGCGCGTATGCGCCGATTGCGAGCTCCTGGGCCTGGAATCCTTGGGTAGCCCAGTAGCCATACTTTCATGAGGGTTTAGGGTTTAGGGTTTAGGGTTTAGGGTTTAGGGTTAGGGTTTAGGGTGAGGTGGTGTTAAGTAGTTTGAGAACTGAACCCATAACCCAAAAAAAGGGTAAAGGGTACCACTGGGCTACTAAGCATCTCGCCGGGATCTCCATGGCAAGCAAGACACACAGGAGGTGCGCCATCTCTTCGGGTTTAGGGTTTAGGGTTTAGGGTTGAGGGTTTAGGGTTGAGGGTTGAGGGTTTAGGGTTTAGGGTTTAGGGTTTAGGATTACAGTTGCGTCTCTTTGAGACAGCACCACCCCGCCACTCAACGAAAGGCGGCTTGGGCATATAATCTTGCAGCGGATGTTTTGGAGAGTTGGCACAGTGGAACCATGTGGCAAAGTCTCTTCAAGGATTCTCGTGTCCTACCAACAAAGTAGGTTTGGGCTTTTAGGGTAACCCTAAGCGGTTATGGTTTAGGGTTTAGGGTTTAGGGTTTAGGGTTTAGGGTTTAGGGTTTCGGGTTAAGGGTTTGGGGCTTCGGCCTGAGAAACCGATCCATGAAAGAGGCAGTGCCCTGGCGCTCGGCCAGCTCCTCCGACACCAGAGGTTCCAGACATCGAGTTTAGGTTTAGGGTTTAGGGTTTAGGGTTTAGGGTTTAGGGTTTAGAGAGGGAGGGAATGTGGGCTCGCACATCTGTACCTGCCTTCATCCTTGTCGGGCAACGATTCTGCAATATTTTCCACGGCCGCTCGCTGCATCATGTGGGCATGGCGAGACCTATAAGGTTTGGTGGTTAGGGTCTAGGGTCTACAGGGTCTAGGGTTTAGGACCTACAAGGTTTGGGGTTTTGGTGTAAAGGCTCAGGGCCTGTGTGAGAAAAGGCGCCAAGAGAGGAAACGGGGCATGAGGCAAGCCCATTCAACCCTCTCAAGACTTGTGATCGAGCCAAGTATGAATATGGTGCCTGTCAGCTTGGGTGTCTTGCAATGTTCATACTTCTTAAGCCTAGACCGTAAACCTAATATACCCCCAAGTGCTCCCCAATACTCCCCAGACGCCCGAAAACTCCGAGATACTCTCTAATACTCCCGAATACTCCCCAAGACTCCTGAGTACTCCCTTATTCACCCTAATACCCCCTAGTCACTCCGAAGGCTTGCTAGGCTTCCTTCAGGCACCCTGTGTACCTCCCCCGCCCCTTTGAACTGTAGAGCTTAGTGATCAGGGTTTAGGGTTTAGGGTTCAGAGATTGGGGTTTAGGGTTTAGAGATGAGTGGCCAGGGTCTAGGGTCTAGGGTCTAGGGTCTAGGGTTTAGGGTTTAGGGTTTAGGGTCCAGTTGGAGCCGGAGATCATGGACTCAACATCCCGCAGCCCGGCAGTGTTGGCGCCCTGTTTCAGTCCCTCTCGTCGGAGCCCTACGTCACCCGTACACCGCAAAGCCACCGAAACCCTTCCTTCCTAAAAAGGTACTCCTAAGACTCGAGTCCTAAACCCTAAACCCTAAACCCTAAACCCTAAACCCTAAACCCTAAACCCTAAACCCTAAAGATCCCTTCATGTACTTCCAGCATGGCCCTGATCGCCTATGAAACCTTCTTATGGGCACCTCAAGAGTCTCCGAACCCAAGGTTCCTAAACCCTAAACCCTAAACCCTAAACCCTAAACCCTAAACCCTAAACCCTAAACCCCTAACCCTAAACCCTAAACCCCTAACCCTAAACCCTAAACCCGAAACCCTAAACCCTAAACGCCCAGGGGGGGAAAGGGAGTAGGGAGCGCTCAAACGGTAAGCGATGCCGGATGGCCAGTATCGAAGAAGACCAGGAAGGAGCGATCCTGACTCACAGCCACGGGGTTTCGGGTTGAGGGTTTAGGGTTTAGGGTTTCGGGTTTAACTTTTTTCTCTTTTTTTTTTTTAAGTTTAGGGTTTGGGGTTTAGGGTTTAGGTTTGAGGGCTTAGGGTTTTGAAGTTTAGGGTCTCGGGTTTAGCTTTATTCGTTTTTAAAGTTAGGGTTGAGGGTTTAGGGTTTAGGGTTGAGGGTTGAGGGTTTAGGGTTTAGGGTTTGGGGTTGAGACTGTACGGGTGTGTTTTTTGTTTTGTTTCCGAAATGTGGTCCTCTTTAACCCAGTAAGGAAACATGAAACATCCCAAGGGCCTACTCCAAACAGACCTAAACCTGAAGGACTCTTTACTCGGTGCACCTTTTCAGCTTAAATGCCCTATGAACGTATTCCTGAACAGGATAGGGCCTTCTTTAAAATCCGACGAGGGAAGAGGAACAATCTCCTAAGGTCCTACCTGACATGATCTAAGCCCTAAACCCCAACTCCCTCCAAAACCCTAAGCCCCTACACACCCTTGAACCCTAAAAGTAGTCGCAAGTTCTCCCGAAACTCCCCAGCATCCCCGGCAAACCGGAAGATCTCAACAGCAATGCCCTGTCCTCGCTTGGGGGCAGGGTGGCTTCTGCCTCGTCGGCTCCTTCATCAGGGGCTTGACGGGTCATTCGGGGCTTAGGGCTTGAGGGTTTAGGATTCACGGCTTTGGGGCTCTTGTTGGTTTGGGGTTAAGGCTTGCTAGGGCGTTAGGGGTTTTTCGGGGGCTTAGGGTGTTAGGGTGGGACTGAGGTGAGGGCTCAAGCTCACGCACGGTTTAGGGTTTAGGGTTGAAATGGGTTTAAGGCCCTTCTTGCTTTCTCCATGAACTGAGTGAGCCCGAGGCCGTCGAACAGGGCAAGTCTGAGTGTGTGCCTGGGTGCCAAAAAGCACAATGAGGTTCCCCGAAACCCAAACCCCTTAACCATCGTGGTGTCAGAGCTTCCGGAACTCGAGCCCTTAAGCCCTCAAAAGTTCGAGGGTTCATGTAGGGTCAGGATTTAGAGGTTTAGAGGTTTGGAGGTCTTAGGGCTTAGGGGTCGGGATTTCAGCCCTAAACCCTAAAACCATACACCCCGATTGTTTAAACGGGTAGCCGTACCCTAAACCCTGATAGCCCTAGTAACCCTAAACCCTAGAAACCCTCAACCCTAAACCTTAAGCCTTAAACCCCAAGCCCGAAACCCGAAACCTTGAACCCTAAACCCAAAACCCAAAACCCAAAACCCAAAACCCTAAACCCGAAACCCTAAGTTACTGCTAGCCTTCGCCGTCGCCATCGTCGATGGGGCCATCAGGCGGCGGTTCCTCTCAGGGCACTGGGCGTCGCAGCGCGCAGGAACGATTTGGGGGCTTGGGGTTTAGGGTTTAGGGTTTAGGGTTTAGGGCTTAGGGTTTAGGGTTTAGGGTTTAGGGTTTAGGGTTTAGGGTTTGGGGCTACTGCATCACCTCTGGGGCTGGAAGTCCGTAGAGTTCATAGGGGGGAAAAATCCCACGGACGCGACGTCTGAGTCCTCTGTCTCCAGTTCAGGATCTGCAGCCTGCTCCACGGACCTGAGGGTGTTTAGGGTTTAGGGTTTAGGGTTTAGGGTTTAGGGTTTAGGGTTTAGGGTTTTCGGGTTGAGGGTTCATGGGCTCAGGCTTTAGGGATACTTGGAGCTCATACTCTGTGGTTTAGTGAATCCTGATTGGGACGTAGGCTTCAGTTGGGCACCTACATCCAAGGATGCCAAGACATCCAGGCAACACAGAGTGCGAACGACAAGATGGAATTCCATCCAATACATCTCTTCACCGGCCCTCACTAGACCCTCCAAAACCCTATAAACCCTAAACTCTAAACCCTAAACCCTAACCCCCAAGCCCTAAATCCTGAACCCTAAACCCTAAACCCGTTTGAGCAGAGAGGATTCACTGGGGGGAGAGGGGGGCACTCAGATTCCTGCATGCAGATCACGCAGAAGCCCGTGGCGGTATGCAGGAGGAGCTTCGGCGTCTCGTCCTGTTCATGCAAGAAAGATGTTCCCTACTGCGGGTTGAGGGGTTTCGGTTCGGTTCCGAATGCTGCCGGGAAAGTGCCTTCTTCCCCCCTAAACCCTAAACCCTAAACCCTAAACCCTAAACCCCTAAACCCTAAACCCCTAACCCCTAACCCCTAAACCCTAAACCCTAAACTCCCTTGAAAGAAGCAATGAAGTATCGACCTCACGCATGTGGGTGGTTCTTCATGTCCTGTAGAGAGATGGACCATGGGATGCGTGCCCTTGAACCAAGGGAAAGCCTTTTCTTGGAAGGGAGGCTGCCTTATAGTTCCACTTTGGGATGTTCCCCCTTATACCAACAGTCCTGAATAGGATTATAACAGGGGGTACCATAATCCCTATCAAGGACCGTTAGTATAAGGGGGAAGTTCTACTTATGGTTCTGATGGGGATAGGAAGGTTGAATTGGCTCAGTATTCCTCAAAAACTGGAGTAAACATTTCAAAACCAAACCCCGAAGCCTAGCACCTACCATTCCGTTCCAACGCCCCCCGGAAGCGATAACCCTACTGCTGCCGATGCCCTCAGGTCGTTCTGCAAGCTGCGCAGAAAAAGAAATGCTCGGCTAAAGAGACCCGCAGCTTCTGTGTGAATCCGAGGACAAACGGAAGGAGTCACCAGACCCGAACAAAAACTTTAAGGAACCTGTGCTAATAACTTGGCTAATAACCCTGAACCCTCCTAAACCTGATCCAGAACCCTAAGAGCCCAAAACCCTGATATCCCCAAACCCTAATCACTAATAATCCGAATACCCCTCGTAACCCTAAACCCTACCAATACCCTAAACCCCGAACCCTAAACCCTAAACCCTAAACCCTAAACCCTAAACGGTTTAACCCTAAACCCTAAACCCTGCTTCACAAGCACGGGGCGCTGCTCCTCTTTAAGGGCGACGCGCTGTGCCTCTGGCTGCTCTTCATCCTCGAGCCCCTGTGAATAGGGTGGGAGGGTTTAGGGTTTAGGGTTTAGGGTTTAGGGTTTAGGGTTTAGGGTTTAGGGTTTAGGGTTTAGGGTTTAGGGTTTAGGGTTTAGGGTTCGGGGTTCGGGGTTTAGCGTTTAGGGTTTAGGGTTTAGGGTTTAGCGTTTAGGGTTTAGGGTTTAGGGTTTAATTAGCGTTTAGGGATCCTGGGGCCTCCAACCTTGACGTAGGCGTTCAGGGTTCAGGGTTTAGGGGCCAGGCAGTGGTGGTATCTTGTAGGGTCTGGGGTTGCATGGAGTCTGAGGCCGTGGGTTGCGCGTGAGTGTGGGAAACCTAGGCTGACAAAGCCGTCTTCTTGCACGTCTTCCAGGATCTCTGGTGTAAGGCAGGCCCAGGACCTCTCAGCAGAGCTGCATGCACTTCGGAGCTCCTCGGGCGCTATGCAGAGGGCGGATTCCTGGCCATCCGGAATCTCCCGGGCTGCGTTGACAGCACGTGGCGACACGAAGAGAGGAGCGGAGCAGAAGCCCCGCGCCGCAGAAACCCTTCGTCACCCCTTTTTAGAACCCTGAACCCTAAACCTACCCTAAATTGCTCTCGTCCCCGGCTGTGGGTCTTCGGCGGTTGCCCTTATTCTCCCTTCGTTCCCCTAGGGTTTAGGGTTTAGGGTGTAGGGTTTAGGGGCTCGACCTAGACCCTAAACCACAAGCCCTATAAACCCGAATCCTGAAGGCCTGACTTTGGCTGATGCCTCCCACGCCATAAGCCTTTCCCCATCCTAGCCGCCAACTCCGCCTGGGACATCCATTTGCATTAGTGCAGGGTTGATGGTTGAGGGTTCAGGGTTTAGGGTCTTGGGTTGAGTTGGATGTTAATGGGTGTGCGATAATGGTTCGAGTTTAGGGTTTTAGGGTTGAGGTTAACAGTTTACGGGTTTTGGATTTAGAGATCCCTTTGACGACCCACTCCCCCCCCCCGCCACTAAACCCCTTGATGTCTGAAGCAACCCTATAAACTATAAACTGTCGAACCTGGCCGCTAAACCCCAAACCGTAAACCCTGACTAAACACGAAACCCCAAACCGTAAACCCTGACTAAACTCTAAGCCCTTACCCCAGCTCAAGAGTTCAACACTTCGTGCAGCGTTCTAAACGAAACTTCCATTACAGACCCCAGCTGCGCCCTCCCTTCCGCCGCCACTCCTAACGCCGGGTTTAGGGTTTCGGGTTGAGGGTGTAAGGGCTTCAAGGTGTAGAATGGCCAGTCTCGCCCTGGATACCTGCACCCCCCTCCCCCCCCTTCGAAAGAGCGCATGTCGAACTTAGAATGCATACACTGCATCCACCAACTCTAAACACGACATCGCCCCTACCGCCGCCAGGACAAAAGGCACCCCAAACCCTAAACCCCAAACCCGAAACCCCAAACCCCTAAACCCCAGACCCCACGGTGCCTCCTTGCGAGGTTCAGGCGGAGGGCCTCAGCCGCAAGGTTTAGGATTCAGGGACTGCGGGGGGAGATAGCTTTGGGCATTGAGGGTCTGGGGTTGACCAGCGGATGAAGCGACAAGGTGTATCCCATGAGCAAGTCCAGCTTATCCAAGACCCCTGCTCTGTGTGTGCAAGCTTACCGGATTGGGGCTCTAGGGTTTTAGGGTGTCGGGTTTTGGGGGCCCGAAGATCGGATTTTCGTTTAGATGGAGGAACCCACCACACCAAGGAGTGCAGGGCTTAGTAGGCTTCGCGCCCTAAACCCTATACCCTATAATTACTCTATACCCTTAAAGCCTAAATCGAACCACCGCCTCGCTTCTGGGGTCAGCGCTGGTACATGCCATTGATCCGACCTGACGCGAGAAGCCAGGAACCGCGGTTGGGTTTGGGGTTTAGGGTTCATAGGGTTTAGGGTTTAGGGTTCAGGGTTCAGGGTTCAGGGTTTAGGGTTTAGGGTTTAGGGTTTTGGGTTTAGGGTTTATGATTTGCAACCCTAAACCCGGGTGCAAACGACATGTACTCGGCATGAGATTGGGGAGCGAAATAGGCAATTCGCTAATTTTTTAAAGCAGGACAAAGACTCTTTGCTTCTGCGTCCACATCTTCGCCAAAGAGATGCGTCTTATGTAGACCTGTTCTGCATCAAAAACCCTCTCATTGTGAGACCATGATAGACAGGCTGTCAGCCAACGGTCCAAAGGACCCGAAAGCCAAACTCAGAGCAAAAGAGAAGACAATGATGACATCACAAATAATAAGAACACTGCCTGCTGTTGCTGCTACTGCTACCGCGACTGCTACTGTTGCTACTACAGCTACTTCTACTACTGCTGCTACAACGACACAACTACTGCTGCTACCGCGTCGACGGCGACGAGGACTACTGCGAAAACGACGCAAACTACAACGACGCCAAGTACGGGGACCATGACGGCGGGCTGCTGCTGCTGCTGCTGACGGTGATGATGATGATGCTTCTTGATGCTAATACACGATTCACGAAACCTCTGAAACCCAGACCCCCCCCCCCCCAAAAAAAAAAAAAAAAAAAAAAACGCCTCCACGCTCGACAGCCCCAAAGCCCAAATGATCTAAACCCCCGCCCTGCAAACCTACCCCCTAAAACCTAAGGCTTGAACTCTAAACCCGAAAACCTAACCTCCCGTCCCCCCCCCAAAAGAAAAATAATAAAAAATAAATAAAAGGAAACTCTTCCGGGTTCGATGTTGACATCGCTGGACGGCCTTCGAACCTCGCTTGAGATCCCAGAGTCTCAGGCTGCCTGGCCCGGATGTGGTGGGTTTAGGGTTTAGGGTTGAGGGTTCAGGGTTTAGGGTTCAGGGTTTAGGGTTCAGGTTCCCTAAACCCTAACCCCTAAACCGCAAACCCTAACCATTAAACCCTAATTTAGGGTTGATGCAAGGATTCAAGGGTCTGTTTAGGACTTGGGGTTGAGGGTTCAGGGTTGAAGGATGACTGGTTTAGGCTGAAGTGTTTCTAAATCCCTGTTCCCCTAGGAAGAAAAAAGGATCCTTTTAGCCACGGTTTAGGGTTTAGGGTTTAGGGTTTAGGGTTTAGGGTTTAGGGTTTAGGGTTTAGGGTTTAGGGTTTAGGGTTTAGGGTTTATATATAAGAAAGCTCATAACCCAAAACGTAAAAAAGGATCCCTAACACTGACCTACGTAGGTTTCATCTTCAGCGACCATCTTCTGGCCCCCCTCGGAAGCTTCTCTCAGTTGTTGGCCTGCCCGGCTCACGCCATCTTTCGGAACGTCACGTCCCGGCATCAAGGATTTAGGGTTTAGGGTTTAGGGTTTGGGGATAAGGGTTTAGGGTTTATGGTCATCCAAAACATCGGTGCACTCAGGTAGCTGGCGACAACCACCCGCGGCCAAATAGCATGCCGCGAACACCCAGCACTCGAGCAAATGATCTGAGAGGTATAGCGCTCGTCAGGCGGCCCACAAGTAATCCTTGGAGGAAGGACATTTTGGAGGACGCGCTTGGTGGCCCTAAGCCCTATACCCTAAACCACAAACCCTAAACCCTAAACCCTAAACCCTACTTGGGATGCGGATGTGGCAGGTCCCAGGCTGAATTCAACCTGAGTTCTTTCTGCCTGGAGCCAGAAGCGACGCAACTTCAAGCTGGGATTCGAAACAAATCCCTGAGCCTACAAAGGTCGACAGAAACACAGGAGATCTGGGTAAAAGAACAGGGAAGGCGCCAGCTGCAAACACCGAACCCCAAGCCCTAAAGCCTAAACCTCAAACCCTAAACCCCAAGCCCTAAAGTCCAAACCCTAGATCCTAGTTAAACCAAAAAAACCCAAGGCCTAAAACTCCAAGCCCTAAACCCCAAACCCTAATTCAATCCAAAACCCCCAGCCCTAAACTCTCAGCCCTAAACGAACCCGAAATCCTAAACCCAAGCTCTGACACCTAAACCCAAAACCTCAGACCCAAACCCCAAGCCCTGCACCCTAAACGCCAAACCACCCTAAGCCCCTCGCAGGGTCTTTAACAAAACCCCAAACCCTAAACCCCTCGCGGCGTTTTTTCAAAAAAAGCACAAGCCCTACACCCTAAACCCCCCTAAACCCCAAACCCTAAACCCCTCGCAGTGTTGAAAAAACAGCCCTCAGTCCTTCGCCATCCATCGTCACGGCCAGGGGCATGGACTGTGACGATGTGACGCCCAAGACCTGGGGACTCGTGGCTTGCAAGGCTTCGGGTTTAGGGTTTAGGATTTAGGGTTTCGGGTTTCGGGTTTAGGGTTTAGGGTTAGGGGTTTAGGGGTTTAGGGGTTTAGGAGTTTAGGGGTTTGGGGTTTCGGGGTTTCGGGGTTTCGGGGTTTAGGGGTTTAGGGGTTTAGGACTTTAGGGGTTAAGGAGTTTAGGTCGTTGCTGGTGCTAGCATATGGCTCTCGAACTACAGAATATGAATCCTGCCCGGCGCTTCTCAACATTCTCGCTGGATTGGGTGGGGTGGGACGAGTGGGAGGATCCAACTAGGTCACACACGCGCGAGGCGCCTTGCTACTTTCAAGGGTGAGAATAT